TCTCCCGGCCGAAGCTTCAGGGTCTGACCAGTGGGCCCCCCTTCCTCCAGCTTTTCCGGCTGCTCCGTCCTTGTCTTGTGGGGTCGGGGCTTGGGGAGAGGACTCGGCCTCGGGTCCTGTGGTGACGGACCTCGAGGCTGGGGAGGGGCTGACTTGGGGGCCTTGGGCCCCGCTGGACCCCGCCTGGGTTTTTCTTCCCACTGAGCGGGGCTTATTGTTACAAGGAGTGGGGTTTTCTTTCCCCCCCTCTGCGTACGAGTTGGATTTGGTGTCGGCCCCTCCCCGGGTACGGTTCCGTGTTCCCCCGGGTACGTCGGTTCCGTCCTTCAGGAGGTTTTCGGCTTATCGCATCCAACCTGGTGTGGTGCGCGCGGCCTTTGCAGCTTACCTCCTGCGTGACCCGGATTATGCCTCGGAAATGGATCCGTCCACGTTCAGGTTTGGGACTTCGTTCCCTTTCTGGCTCCGTTACGAGGTTCCGGAGTCATCCTGGCTAGCGGACTGCCCCTTGTTTGGTCTGGATTCCTGGCATTCCTTCTGTCGTTCCCGCGCGCTGGAGTGGCGGGAAGCTTCCACGGTGCTTCAGGTTTTCCTGGGGGGTGAACTTGAGTACCTGAATGAGTGCTTGTTTGCCCCTGCCCTTCCCCGCGATGTGGGCGTTATTCAGCTCCATGTGCAGGTTCCCTCCCTTTCGGCGGCGCTCGTGGCGGAGGACTTGCGCGCTCGGGGCCTTTTGTGTTCGGCCTTGCGGTTCTTTTCCCTCCTGGAGCTGTCTTCGGATTGGCTCGTGGAGGATGTGGGGACGCTTGGGTCCGTCCCGGGGTCCGGCACCTTGTCCTCGGCTGCGCGTTCGTCGGCTGCCTTGTTGAAGCTGTTCACGCCGATTTTGCGGGATGCGGTTTCCCTGTTCTATGCTTCCCGTCTCGCGTGTCGGCAGGCGGTGCTGGGTTCCTCCGTGGAATCTGCTTGGGCTCTGGCTCTTAGGCGTTCTTCACCTTTTTGTCCTCTCCTGTTTGGGGAGTCGGCCGTGGCGCAGTTTATTCAGGCTGCGTCGGCGGCTTGTCGTCCGATGTCGGACTTGTTGGTTTTCCGGGGGTCCCGGGGTGGGTCTTCCCGGAAAGGTCGTGCCAGGGCTCGGGGTTCCTCTCGTCGTGGTAGGCCTCTGGTGTCAGGTTTGGGGTTGGCTCCTCCTGCGGACCCTCCCTCGTCTGGTCGGCGCGGTGTTCGCGCTGTGCGGGGTTCTGGGTCTCGTAAGGGTCGCCGGCCCTTTCGCGGTTTGCCCCTTTGACGGGGCGATGGGGGGGCGGCTTGCGCTGTTCGCCCGCGCCTGGTCCCACGATTCGTGGGCCTTTCGGGTCGTGTCTCGCGGCCTGCGGTGGCGTTGGGTGGCCCCTCCCCCCTTTGGGGGGTCGGGGCTGGCGGGGCAGGCTTCTTTCCCTGCGCTCTGTCGAGTCGTCTTGGAGTGGGTACGCTTGGGCGTCGTCGAAACGACGTCGTCCCTCAGATGGGTTTCCCGTCTGTTTCCGGTTCCGAAACGGGACTGCGCGGACCTGCGGTTCATTCTGGACTTGTCCCGTCTGAACCCCTGGGTTCATTGCCCCTCCTTTCGGATGACTACGCTGTCTCAGGTTCGGCTCCTCTTGGAGCCGGGTGCTTGGATGGTGTCCCTGGACCTCCGGGACGCTTATTGGCATGTCCCGATTCATCCGCGGTTCAGGGACTGGCTCGGTTTTGTAGTGGGGCGTCTGAGTTACCGCTTTCGTTGTCTCCCGTTCGGTTTGAACCTGGCACCTCGCGTGTTCACACGCCTTACACGGGTTGTGGTGGCTCGTTTGCGTCTCCTAGGTGTTCGGGTGTTGGCCTACCTCGACGACTGGCTGGTTTGGGCTCCCAGCCAGTCAGCTTGCTTGCTAGCCAGGGATTTGGTTCTTTCCCAGCTCGCCGGGTTCGGGTTCTTGGTGAACTGGAGGAAGTCCCATCTGGTTCCCTCTCAGGTTCGGACTTGGCTGGGTCTCGTGTGGGACTCTCGGACCGCCTCCTTGTCTCTCCCTCCGGAGTCTCTCCTGCGGCTGCGGTCCCGCCTTCGTCTGTTTCTGGAGGGCCCTCGGGTCACCCGGCGGTTGCTCGAGGGGCTGTGCGGGAGCCTGAACTTCGCGATGGTGGTCTACCCGCCGGGTCGGGTTTGGCTTCGACGGCTGTTCTGGTTCCTTCGGGGTTCCCCCTTCCGCCTCTCTCGCGATCGCAGAGTTCGACCCCCGGGGGACTTGCGTCGGTTGCTGCGTCCCCGGCTTCCTCTTCGGGTTTTTCGGGGTTCAGTGCCTTGGCGCCTACCCGAGCCCTCGCTCGATGTGTACACGGATGCGTCGTCTCTCGGCTGGGGTTTTGTGACCAGTGCTCACCAGGCCGGCCAGGGGCGTTGGGATCCGTCCTTCCGTCGAGCTCACAGTACGGTGCGGGAGTTCGCGGCAGTGTGGTTTGCTCTGGGGAGGATTCGGGTGGCCCGCGGATCGACGATTCGGCTCCATTCGGACTGCTCTCCGGTGGTTCATTGCCTGAACCGCGGGGGTTCGATGCGGTCCTTGTCTCTTTGGGGTTGGTCGCTTCGGGTGACTCGTCTGCTGAGTTCTCGGGGTTTGGCTCTCCTGGCGGTTCACGTACGGGGCGTGTCCAACGTCTTGGCCGACGCCCTGTCTCGCTTCGTTCCCCTCTCCACGGAGTGGACGGTCGACGACGAGTCCTTCCGTTGGCTTTGCCAGACGTTCGGGCGCCCCGAGGTGGACCTCTTCGCGTCGGCGTGGTCGCGGCGTCTTCCCGTTTATGCGGCGCCCTTCCCCGATTGCGAGGCCGTCGGGGTCGATGCCTTTCGGCTCGACTGGTCGAGGTGGGGGTTCCTGTACCTCTTTCCCCCAGTTCGGCTGTTGCTCCAGGTCCTGACTCGCTTAGAGACTTACCAGGGGAGAGTTGTCCTTCTGGCCCCTTGGTGGCCGGCCCAGCCTTGGTTTCAGGCGCTGGTTGCTCGGTGTCCGAACCCGAGGGTTTTCCCGCGGCTCCGCCTCTTTCCGCAGATCGGGCCGGTACGTCACGTAGCTGGTTCGATCTTCTCCTCGAGTCTTCGCGTATGGTTTTTTTGACTCGAGTCTATCATCATCTCTATGGTGATCAGGTGGCCTCCTTGTTGGTGTCCCACCTGAGGGCTTCTTCTCGGCGGCAGTATGAAGTTTCCTGGCGGTCCTTCCGTTTCTTTTTGCGTCTTCGTCGTGTTAGCTCCTTGTCTGTTCGGGTGGTCTTGTCCTTCCTCTCGTGGTTGTTTCAGGACCGTCATCTTATGCCTAACACTGTCGCTTCGTATCGTGCGGCGCTGGCGGAGCCGCTTCAGCTTGCTTTCGGTATCGATGTTACGTCTGCGCCGTTTCGCAAGCTGTCTCGTGCATTGTTTCACCTCCGGCCTGCTCATGCGTCGCCTGAGCCGTCCTGGTCTTTGGACAGAGTGCTCGCTTTCCTTTCATCTCCTCGTTTCGTTGTGGCCCCTTCGGTCCAGGATTGTTTTTCCAAGGCACTTTTCTTGTTGGCTTGGCCTCTGGGGGTCGGGTAGGGGAGCTTCATGCTCTCCTCCGGCGCAGGGGTTTCTGCTCTTTTGGTCGTGGTGATAGTTTTGTTCGTTTGCAGCCGTCTCCTTCTTTTCTGGCGAAGAATGAGACTGCTGCGTTCCGGAGGGGTCCATGGGTGGTTGATGCTTGGTTGGTCAGGCCGGGGGTGCATCATGTTTTGTGTCCGGTTGCGGCGCTTCGCCGTTATTTGCGCGCCACAGCTTCTGTGTCCGGGGACGCGCTGTGGGTTGATCCGGTTTCCCTTCTTCCCTGTTCGCGGGTTCGGGTCTCTCAGGTCGTCCGCAGGGTTATTAGGTCTAGCCAGCCTGCGGTCTATCCCCGTGCCCATGACGTTCGTAAGTTCGCGGCTCTTGCTGCCGTCTTTGGGAATATGTCTTGGTCTGATATTCGGGCGCGGGGATTTTGGCGGTCGAACAGGGTCCTGGCTGCTCGCTACCTTGTGAATGTCCCTGGCCCTCGTCGGGCCTGTGTTGCTTTGGGTCGGCGGTTGCAGCCAGTTGTCTCGGCTTCGAGTTGAGGGGTGAGCGACGACCGCCTCCCGGGTAAGTCCCTCTTTTTCTGTCTGTGGGTAGTTAGCTCCGGGGAGCCGACGGGGCTCCCCCCAGAAAACCAGCGTTGAATGTAATGAAACGCCATTTTCTGGGTGAGTCCCGGAGGCTCCCCGGCATCCCTCCCTCCCTCCGGTCGGCGGTTTTTCGCGTTTTTGACATCCAGCCTCAAGAACTGAGGTGTGGGTAGCCGGCGCGGGGGGTCTGGGGCTCCCCCTTCCCCCTCCCGGGGAGGGGGGAGCTGCGCAGACAGCGGCGCGGCAGTGTGTGACGTCACACTAATTTGCTTGTTTTCGGTTGGGGAGTTCTATCCACTAGTTCGGTATTAGGTAGCAATTTTAACCAGAATAGGGGTTTGTTTTGGGGCGCTTACCTTTCTGGGTGCCTGTTCCGGTCGATGGCAGACATAGAATGCTTCCAACTACACGGGGGCTTCTATAGGCCATTGCTCCCCTTGCCTCTCTGAGGGGGCCCGGTTCTGGCCGTGGTCCCCGGTAGGCCTAAGAACTCCATACACATGACTGATGCCAAAGTCTGACATTAGCATATCAGCCTGGGATAGCTCCGGGGAGCCTCCGGGACTCACCCAGAAAATGGCGTTTCATTACATTCAACGCTGGTTTTTTGTATGTGTACGTTCCTTATATTTACTATGAATTATTTCTATAATGGATACCAGCTCAGTCATTGGTAATTAGTTCAAGAAATTGTATTTACTGTGTTTGAAAATTCTTGACTTTTAGTTAACACAAATCTTTGTGTTGATGTTTAAAATATAATGTGGTAAAGGCAGTAAAATATTCTACATGTAACTTACTTCATTTTTTATCTCTTTGTCTTGCAGAGGATGCAACTTATGGTTTTCCAAGGTCAAACACTGGGAAGCTAAAATGGACGAAAAGCCACTAATGTGGTGGTTATGTAGTAAGTTAGAGACTAATTAGAATAGTGGTAATAAAATATGAGTATAGTGGAGTGGATAAAATATAGAAATATCTTTTAAAGAATTTATAATATATTTATTTGTAAAAATATTGCAGTAAATGAGTGTGAAGATGTAATTTTTGTACGGTCTGTAATTAATGAGGTGTGTGAGTGAGATGGTATGGATATATGGAATTCACATGAGCAAATGTGCGTGACTTGAGGTAACTGTAGTTAGATACGGTAAGAAACCCAATTTTATTTTATTTTAAATGGAATATTAATTTTGAGAGAGAAATTGGGTAGAATACAATATAGTTAAAGACACTGTATATGCTATCATTTTTAGAGCAGGTCTTGGAGAAAAATACATGTAATGGACAATAAGTCATGACTGAAAATCCATTTCTTGTATGTCACAAACTGCATAGAGGAGGGGGGGGAATTATCAGGAGAAAGTGCCAAGTCTTTACGACTACATAGCACTTTGAAGGGATCGGGATAAGGATTTGGGATGGGATAGGGGTAAGGAATGGTGTCCAAGCACTTGGATGGTCGGGATTGAACGTCGACCTGCACGAAGCGAGACCGTCACTCTACCATCCAGTCCAAGTGGTTGAGTACATAAAGGATTTTACAAAAAAATTTGTGGTGTGTAGTTATTTATCAAAATATGTTAAATGGAAATTTTAATATTTATATTTTCCTTGTTAATTACTGGTTAGCAAAAGTAGCATCAGTTACTTTGATTTTAACTGTTTATAATTATATTTTCTAAACATTGTGAATTATATTTATCCAATACAATATAGTGAATACAATACTTGGAAATTATATTTTCATTATTTTTATTTATATACTACTGTATTTGTTTTATTAGCTTTATCCCAGTAACTTGTAAGCAGTTTGAATCTCACAACAGAGTTTCACACATACATGGTTTATTTTCTGACCTAATTTTTTTTTAAATGCATGGCACAATTTTTGCTCTGTATAGATTGGAGCGCAGGGTTGATGCACATCTGGGGGCCTTTGTTTCATTTTAGCTGCAAGCTGGTAAAACACATTGGGGCATGGGTTAAGTGTGCATTTGGGTGCACAAACGGTGTTTATCACTGCAGGGTGCTGCACCACATTGACATGCAGAGTTGGTACCGAGTAAAGAGAGACTTGGGCTGGTTATACAGTGAAGGAATCTGTTATGTGCTCTTAATTTCATCAGGTATACATTGATCTGGAGGAGATACTGATGTTTGAAGCATTATTTACGTACAGTATATTGATTCTATGACAATATTGTCCCTTAAACATACACATTTTTGTGGATATACTATACAGTACTATAGTTAAATTTTGAGTGTACTGAATGGGCTTCTTTTCTCACATGTCTGAAAAGCTCAGAGGTTTCTTGGATATGTTCAATGCATCTTTGGTCAAAGATGTCTTCAAGGAGGAGAAAACTTGTTTTGTGAGTTGCATGTGTATGTGATATGAATGTGTACCTAAAAACCTGGAGATGATGATTTGCATCCTATTGCATTTGGGATCTATATATAACTATGAGAATGGTTTTTATGCATTATTATGCATCACAACTCGTTGGAAGTGCCTGATGACCTTGATGGGCTATGGCAAAGTGGGCACACTGTTTTGAGATTTATTGCTCAGAAAAGGGAATTGCACAGTTACCATTGATTGGTTTCATTACTTTCATTGTATATTTTTGTTCAAATGAAAAGTATCTAGTAATGTGTCCTTTGAGGCAGTTGTAATGCAGTATTTCCTATGTAGCACCACTTTTAATAAACAAACAAAACGTATAAACTTATTATTTTTTCCTTTAGTTTTTGGAGTTATTGTTAAATAAGGGGGGGGGTCTATATTTACTAGAAACAGATTTTAGAACTGCTGCTCTAAATCATTGTATTAAAATTACAATGACTGAGTACTTTATGAATAAAGATATTGTAATATATAATGCCACAAATTTACGAGAATTCAAGCCTTACACCATCAAATTATGAGGACCCTTGATCTTGTACCACATATTTATGAGGACATGACCCCTCACCACAAATTTACAAGGACGATGTTAATTTGCACAACTCATTGCAGTACCTCACCACCATAGTATTGAGTGTAGTTCCTATTATACAAACATTAGCAAGATTAGCTGAATTTTCCTCTGAAATTAGTTAATTTATTATGCACCCCATAACCATCTTGTTGGCAGTAGTGAAAAAGGGTTACAGAGGCATATAATGGGCTCAGGGACTGAACCCCACAATTCATTAGGTAAGAAGAATTTGCTGATTTTCACTGATAGCTGCAGACACTGAAACTTGGTGATCCAACTACTTAGATTTTAACTTGAGAATTGCTTTTTGGCAATTCACTTCTACTGTCACCACAGTTAAATATTATTTCACATGTGTCCATGCTAACAGAATTATAGTCACTGTTCCATCTGAAGTACATATGTCATAGCAAAGGTATTGATAGAGCAAGAAAATGAAAAGTCAAGTCCTCAGAATTATGCTTGGCTGTTTAATTTGAAAAAGTTCTTAATATGTTAACAAAACCTAAGCATAACATTCTTTCAAGAAAAACTATGTGGTCAATCTTATGAAAGGGGATGAAGTGTGGTGTGGTAATAAAAATAACATCAGTAGAGTTTTTACAAATCAAACGCATTGATTTTGGATGGGTTCCGAGAGCCAGACATGTTCAGTATTTGAATGTTTAGATTCTACAAGTTATACAAAGGTTAAAAACATAAGCACATAATTCCCACAACTTGAGACAACACCTTTTGATATCATGATCCCTACATCCATGTAACTAATTACACTTGATGCAAAATTCAATGCTCTTGAACACATACACAATCTACACACTAAAAAAAATCACACAGACCATATATCTCCATTCAGCTATTAGCAGGGCGCATGGAGTGCTGTCATTGTATGTCAACTCAATAGCAACACAAAATAAGTAAGAATCAATATCTGTGCATCTACCTTATATAGTAGAATTGTTAACCATCCTTGTAGCCTTCAAGAGTGTTGAAAATACTTTGATAGTTTAATCATCTCTGGCTCCTTATTCTCATCATTTGTTCAAACTAACTTATAATCAGTCCCGTCATAGCAGCTATCTTCTTGTGGTGGTGAGCCTTGTGTTTTGTCCAATCCAAGTGGACTCCGATGGTGAGTGCCTTGGGACATTTACATAATAGGGCTTCCCATACCAAACTGGTTGTTGGTTTAGAAGCTTGACTAAAATATGTAATCTTAGTCCATCTGTTCATTTTCTGAGCATGGAGACTCCTAATCCCATTTATCTTTATCTGGACGTTGAGTGTGCCCAGGACACTGAGGATCCTGTGAGGCAACACACCATTTTAATGTTGTGTAGGGGTAAAATGGGTAGTTAAGTGTGGCCCAGCTGAATCAATCGGTTTGTCTAGCTCGCTGGTCTAGGGTCAAGTAGGCATTGAGGAGTCGGCACACCCATTGGTGCCTATCAACTCCTCACTGGTGACTTAAATGTGCTATCCATACTATCTCAAACGCAAGGTGTTGAAACCCTTCTCAATGGCCACTCATCCCAGGCTTCCATCATCTGTTAAATTTCCATAATGCAATCTATTTAATAAAGAATTCTAGGTATGCAATAAGTTCTCATTGAAATCTCTTGTCGCGGATTCTCTCATTAAGAAGATCTAATCAAAATCTTTAAAATACTGAACAATTTGGAGGATGTAGATCCGGACGATTTCTTCAAAAGATCTAATCAGAATGAGGAGCAATAGCTTCAAGCTCAACAAGCCACAATGTAGGACTGAGAACAGGAGATGTTTTTTCACCCATAGGGTTATAAACCCATGGAAGCCGTAAATTACAAAATTCTGTTGGGTTTTAAAATACAACTGGAAAAGATCATTAGGGCAAAGATCATTGGTCCCCGGTCAAGCCTCCCTGGTACGAACCCAGGCCAAAGCGCCTGGCGAATGTCTTACTACTGGGCCACGGAGATTTTCCCTCTCAACAGCTCATCTCAGGCCTTACCTTACCATTTTTTGGGGGGATCTCAACCCGCCCTTGGGCTGGATGGTAGAGCGAAGGTCTCGCGTCATGCAGGTCGGCGTTCAATCCCCGACCGTCCAAGTGATTGGACACCATTCCTTTCACCCTGTCCTATCCCAAATCCGTATCCTGAGCCCTTCCAAGTGCTATATAGTCGTAATGGCTTGGCACTTTCCCCCCCCCTGATAGTTCCCTTCAACCCGCCAATTGGTTTACAACCAGGTCATTAATTACTGTTGGTTGAATCAATATGGCTCTGTGCCAGGACAACCCTTCCCTGCAGTCCAAGGATCAAGCTCAGCCGAAACAGTTGGTGAAGCGTAGTGCATGCTACACTGTAGACTTAGTGTGCATTTCCACTGTTATGGTTCATTTTGTAATACACTGGGTTATTTAGATGCAAAGGAGTTGTGAATATTGAAGAGCAGTGTAGAGGGAGCCATATTTAAACAGCCCGCCGGTGGAACTCCGAAGGAGTAGGATCTAACTTTTTTAGACCAAAGGCAATTTTCGCCATCCTACGTCATCGCAACTCGTCAAGTAAACCTTATCCCAACCCAAACTATCCCGCTCCAAACAGGTTGATGCTCTGCTGTGATTGGCCGAGCCTCTGGGACGGCGCCTGGGTACAAGGCTTTTTTTTCCGATTTCCAAAACCGTATATATCGTTAGGCTATGCTGTAGCTAGGTTGTATGAGCTTAGATTAGGTTCGACTGGGTTTAGTTCAGATTAGGTTGGTCTGAGTTGGGTAAAATTAAGTTTTAAAATCCGGAGGGCGAACCGTCTTGTGTGTTACGTGAGGGGGACGCTGGCAGTGTGCGCTCAACCCTCGTGCATTAACAATGGAAGTGCTCGTTTTCACAGAGTCGTTAACCCGAGGCGATCGTCGGCCTGTACAACTTCAGCAGGAGCCCCGTCAGTCCTCCCAATGGTCACCCCGAGCTTACAAGAGGACAGGAGACCACTGCAGCCTTGAGGTGAGCCATATTCATGAAATGTACTGTACCCCCACCACAGTCTCACCTTACAGAAGCGACGCCATGACAGATGGTACCGGCGTCCATCACAACAATAACAAGGAATCAGTATTTTATAGGCTGTTGCGGGGCTGTAGAGTAGTTTGTAATGTTTAAATTATAATGTGAAGTACATTTCTTTAACTTTAATCAGGTCTTCACGTCAGGTCGTGGCAAAAGGCTTGATGTATGTATAACTACAATTATTGAGGATGTTTTAACAAATAGTTTTTAAGAAATGTGTTCTTAGATTACTAAAGTACACTATGATTTTTTGTTAATTAATACATGAGGTACATCTGCATTTGTGCAGCTACCCTAGACTATATGAACTGGAGTACAGTGTGTCAAAAATGCTAACTACGTGATGCTAAAAAATCCCCATGAAAATTGGAAAGAATGCCAATATTAATTGGTAAAATTAATCGTATGTCCACATTTGCTATTATCCCTCATTTGGGCTGGTATCGTAGTTGGCTGAAGGGCGAAGACGATCGAAGGATCTGATCCTCCCCGTATCGTGGTTCTGACCATTCAGGACAAACACCCCCACGGTGCTCTCGGACGTAGGTTCGAATCCTCGTCACGGCCTTTTTGGATTTGTTCACTTCCACGGTGTTTCTTCCAGTTGTGTGGTGCTGTACATGATACTATGGCGATATGTTTACACAGTATGAATAACGCTATGAACACGGCCTTTTGGGAAACAATAATAAAATAATTGTAATTGATTCAACACAGACTGTTTATCCTCTGGACTCACATTCTCGAATCATAAATTCTTCAGGACTTTCCAATAACGACAATGTTTCTTATAATACATTAACATATTTCAGCGTCAGTGACCCAGATATTATGGGGAAAAAATATACAATCATTAGTGTATCCATTAATTTATGAGAACAGTTGAAATGATGCAGGATCAATCCTGTTCATGAGAACCAAAAAAATTATACTTTTTTTCGTTGTTGAATATTTCTAATACATAACAACAATCATGGAAAGGTTTTATTAGAATATTATGATAAAAATCATGTTTTCATTGAATCTATGATGTTTAGAAGCACTTCCGGTGGACAATGCCAGGTCCAGATTCGTCGTATTCTTGCTTGGTGATCCACATGGCCTGGAAGGTGGAGAGAGAGGCCAGGATGGAGCCACCGATCCAGACGGAGTACTTACGCTCGGGAGGAGCAATGATCTTGATCTTGATGGTGGATGGAGCCAGGGCAGTAATTTCCTTCTGCATGCGGTCAGCAATACCAGGATACATGGTGGTACCACCAGACATAACAGTGTTGGCGAACAGGTCCTTACTGATATCAATGTCACACTTCATGATGGAATTATAGGTGGTCTCATGGATGCCAGCAGATTCCATACCCAGGAAGGAAGGCTGGAACAGAGCCTCAGGGCAGCGGAAACGTTCATTGCCGATGGTAATGACCTGACCGTCGGGAAGTTCGTAGGACTTCTCGAGAGATGAAGACTGCAGCAGCAAGCCATCTCTTCCTCGAAGTCGAGGGCGACATAGCAAAGTTTTTCTTTGATGTCACGAACGATTTCTCGCTCAGCGGTGGTGGTGAAGGAATAGCCACGCTCGGTCATGATCTTCATCAGGTAGTCAGTCAGGTCACGACCAGCCAGGTCCAGACGAAGGATAGCGTGGGGAAGAGCGTAACCCTCGTAGATGGGAACAGTGTGAGACACCCATC